TATCGGAGGGTCACCTCTCATTGTGGTGTGATTATTCAAATATTCATTCTTGTTCTTGCACTGCTCGGATCATTCTGGGAAAGATTAGACCCTCCAGCCAGCACTGGAGAACGTCTTGGACGTTGATGTGAAATGCACACAGCTCCCATACTTGGAAGGCACATTAGTTTTACTTGCAGAAGAGGGGAACTCTAACCACTTAATAAATGCTTGCTCCTTATTTCTTTCCATTTTTGTATTCTTTTCAGCTGTGTCGAACGCTGGTAAGAACTGTTTGTTTTTGTTGTGTCATCGATCGACTTATTTATCAGCATCAGCTAAGGAACAAAACTAAGTGAGCAACTATGAAAGCAGAGAAAGCGTGTTCAGAAATGCTGGAGGGAAATCCCAGACTACTCAAAAAAAGGGTGTGTTCCAGTAACAATGAAAGTTAGGCAGCCAAAAAATCACACCTTAAGAGGTAAAGCAAATATTATTAAGGGTAGTATTCCTTTTATGAGAGACAGTAATTTCCTTTGATAAAACAATCTGCTTAGTTTTCTTTTGTATTCAATCCACTGAAGTATTTTTTCCAAATCTGTAACTCTCCTGACTTCCTCCTTAAAAGAAAAAAAAACCAAAATCAAAAGAAAAGATGTCTTTAATAAACAGTTAAGGACAAATGAAGTAAGAATTTCTGTTTCACATCACTTATATATTTGCTTTGTTCATAGTAAGAACTACCTCGACAAAGTGCACAAGCAGCATATTTCTCACCATTTATGCTTATTTGCATACCCATATACTTTAGCATTGCACCATTACTTTGTGGATTTGTGTTTACTTTTAGAGGATTACATAGAAATTCTACACGCGCACCCTCCACTGCTACCTTACAAAGCTATGTGAGTGTGCAAGTGTGACTGCTCACATGCAGAGAGCTACGCTTTACTGAATGTGCTGGTTTTGGCTGGGGTAGAGTTAATTTTCTTTATAGTAGCTAGTATGGGGCTATGTTTGGGATTTGTGCTGAAAACAGTGCTGATAACACAGGGATGTTTCAGTTATCGCTGAGCAGTGCTGACACAGAGCCAAGGACTTTTCTGCTCCTCACCCCACCCCACCAGCGAGCAGGCTGGGGGTGCACAAGAAGTTGGGAGGGGAGGGGACACAGCCGGGACAGCTGACCCCAACTGACCAAGGGGATATCCCATACCGTGTGACATCATGCTCAGCATATAAAGCTGGGGGAAGAAGAAGGAAGGGGGAGACATTCAGAGTGATGGCGTTTGTCTTCCCAAGTAACCATTACGCTTGATGGAGCCCTGCTTTCCTGGAGATGGCTGAACACCTGCCTGCCGATGGGAAGTAGGGAATGAATTCCTTGTTTTGCTTTTCTTCTGTTCACGGCTTTTGCTTTACCTATTAAACTGTCTTTATCTCAACCCACGAGTTTTCTCACTTTTGCCCTCCCGATTCTCTCCCCCATCCCACTGGGGGGGAGTGAGCAAGCAGCTGTGCGGGGCTTAGTTGCCGGCTGGGGTTAAACCATGACACTGAGCTAGAATCATTAAATTGAAAAAATAGAAGCCCTCAACAGACAAATTGCATTAAAATTCACTCCAGCTGCAAAGCTGTTGCAGAAAAATAGAACATTTCCTGGAAAAAACACATCAAAAGTGGCCTCAACCTTTACTGATAATTGGCTAATATTGATTTGGTATTACATTATAACCTCCTCTGATCTCACTGACATCAGTAGCCACTCCTCAATCCCAGAGGTTCCAGCAGGAAGGACAGTTTTAAAGTGTCTTGCTTCCTCTGCTGGCAGAGGCATTAATTAATTCACAGGCTTTTCCAGCCACCTTCTCCAGGTCAGCCCCATTTCCCTGCTGGGGCTGCACCAGCTGGCTCCTGGCTTCTCCGGCAGGACAAACTTGCAGGGGGCATGTGGCGCGGTGCCAACACTCCTGGTGAATTCTGTGCCACTGTCCTAATTATTTGTAACCATTAATTAGAAACATTAATTAAATATAGAAAATTATAGTCATAGCCATTCTACAGAGTACAGGTTAAAAATATTAAGTACTGCACAGATCATCATAATTTCCTATTGAATAAATATGTACTGTGTTATGTGTGCGCATACATGTATTTATCTACATACACCACACCATTAAAATGTGTATTTGATTTATAAACTAGAATAGTGCTCTCTTCAAAGTCTAACGTGTATCTTTTTAACGTTTCAAAATCAAAATAGATTCAAAGAAATGCTGCTAAATCTGTGTGGTCACTCTCTGAGCATCAACATTTTCTGTTTCACATCACCACCCCTGCTAGGATGGCGAATCATCTTCACAGGCAAGAGCACAGAGTCGCAATTTATACCTCACACTGCAGTGAGCCGATGTGAGATGTTCACCCTGCTTCAGTATAAACAGAATTTTACTATATCCAAGTTCACTATAAGCAGATTCCAATATATCCCCCTTCTGGTTCACAGCTGCTGTTTCATGTGGGATAGGATCCAGAAATTTTTTAGATGCTTTGTGTCCTGACAGAAAACACAGGACCACTATTCTGACTTGGATCTCACGTTTAGAAAGCAACAATTGCAGGTGGGTAAACAAATGGCTGACATGATGGCAATGCCGTGGAGAAATTACATCTCTATTTCAAGCTCTGCATATGATGTTGAAGGCAAACACTGAAGTTTTTAAGAATATTAAAAAATTCTTTAGTGTTGCCAGAGAACAGATTAGCAAAGGCATAGTAGTGAACACCAGTAAATTACATGGTACAAAGATATAAAGTACATCCTTTTTCAACATTATTTTAATTATTCTAATTATGTTCTTTTTAATGAAGCTCATATTTATTTTCCTCTTCTGATTTTTAACTATTGCTACACTATTCAGATATTTTACTGAATAATACTGAGAAACTACTTTATATAGCTGATAAAATTACTTCCCTCATATGTCAGTATTCAATTTTACTTGAGCATTTAAAAGAAGTCAAGAAAACAGATGTTTTAGAACCCTATTCAGGCTACGAATTGTAGTGTCACATTTTAAATTACAATAAGCACCCTCTTAAGACAGTGCTAATAATTAATACTACTGCAATTAATACCAAGAAGCCTTCCCGTTGACGGGTTTATAAATTGTCAGTTCCTTTTTGAAATGTAGAACATCCTACATCTTTGAAATAAAAAGCTCAGCTAACAAATGAGTTCCTGCCTAATTGCCAAACACTGATTTGTATGAAGCGGTTGAGGTTACAAAGAAATTGGGAATTCTCAGCCCGGTTTCCCTGCTGATGAGTACGAACTGTCTGTGTAGCTCTCCCAGAGGTGTCAGAGGAATCTCTATAGTGTCACACAAGGGTTCTTAGCTCAAAGTAAACACACTTTCCACAAACTCAGCTGCTTAATCTGTTTGCAGGTTGAATTATAAGATGGGGGTGGATGACTCTGGGTGCTGGGAAGACGCACAGAGCATTTCCACAGTTTCTTGGTAAAAAGGGCATGCTATTGTCATCAAAAGACCTCCACCAATTGTTTAATTTTGCTATAGGCTCAGCGGTCTGATCTTAGCAATAATGAAAACTAACCTGACCAAAAATTTCCCAAGTAGTTGAGCATGTTAAATTGCGTAAATTCTTTTCACTATAGCAGTGCATCACCACCACTTTAATTCAGGTTGAGGGTTCACTTCTACTCTAGCCATCCTTGTTACACGGGATTAAAGAAGACTGTTTCACGAAAAAAAAACCAAAACCAAAAAATAACCTTCACTTAAATATCTATGGTTAGTAAATGTTTATAAATAAAATGAAATGAAATAACAACTTTAAACAACGTACAGAAAAGTTTAGCCAACATTCTCTTTAACATGCTGTTAATTATTTTTCGTAGTTTTATTTTTATCAAGCACGCACCTGCTGAAGTTTCAAATATATCTAAGTGTTCAGAATAAAGATTTGAATGATTCTCAAACAACTGGAGGTTTTAAAGAGATGACTGAAAATATGTATTTTCATATATGCATCTATCTTAACTATATTTTATGTAATTACAAATAAATTAAAAATATAAAAATATGATTTCTTTACTTTTTTAATAGAAGAACTCAGCATGTATTTTTTTAAACAGGAAGAACTCTTGTTAGGTCCTTGCAATATACGATAAGCCAATTTCTGGCTACTCTGGAAATATGCTGCAGACATTAAAGTTGAAGACAAATACGGAAGATGGGAAAATTTTATCAGCTCAGCATCAACCACCTTGGAAGGGTGAAAGAGGGGTATTTTGCAGCTGGTGAATGTAATGCAGAGATGAGAAGTGCCAGACTGTGAAGAGCTCTGCCTACAGGTTTGCCTATGTCCCAGCAATCAGACTTTCAAAGGCTTATGTGCTAGTAATAACAAACATGACAGTAAGACTTCAGTAGAGATGAACTTCAGGTTTTGCAGTTCAGTAACCTTTTATCAGGGAATCTTATGCTGGGAAAGAGAATACAATCCCTGTTCACCGACTCAGAGACTTCCTGTTGGTTTCAGTGAGATTTTGAAGCCACCCCTAAACAACCCCATCAGCATTTATCGTGGCATGAAACCTGCCAGATGCGTAACAGACCAAAAATGGGAACCTTAATATTCTACCATGCAATTATAAAGGCAAATACTCTGTTGCCATAGGATTGCCATGGGGTAAAAAGACAGTGAAAACCATTCACAGGAGATGGAAACACTTTCTCTGTGCCTTCCACATGTAGAAAGCAGTTTCCATAACAGTGATGACAGGCACACTGACTTGCATAATACTATAAAACTGTTAAAATGATCGGCTTCACACTGAGCAGGTAACGAGCTGAATGGCTGACAAAGAAGGAATTGTTTTAAAGGACCTTTTCTGAGTACTGCCACACTTTCAGTCATAGACCAAATACCAGAAGAAACAACATTTCATTTGGTTTTCGACTGCAATTTTTCTTGAAAGAAGGCAAGTGACTTACTTCTGAACTTTTTCATTGGCCTCCTGTGAGGCCTCCAGGGCTTTCTGGAGCTTCAGCTCTGTGTCCTTTTGCTCTGACCGAGCTTGCTGCAGCTGAGCTGCCAGATCTTCAATCTGGCGATAGGTAAGGGTCACAACATCCTCCCTGCCATGCAGTCCACCTTCAGAAGTACCGAAAGTACAGTTAAGCTGGTCCTTGAGACCCATTCCTTCAGACAAAGATTTGTATAAGCTGGGAAAACAAAATCATTCACGTTATGAAGTTTCAGTCTAAGGCTGAGCTGCAAGAATACTACACTCAGTTTAATTAATATTTTTAATATTATCATTTATAGATCCACATGCACTAATACCAAAACAAGTTTTATTTCAAAAATGACAGAGAACAAAAAGAACATCCCATTTCCACAAGGCTCTTCTAGAAGTATGTAACAACTATCAGAATTTTAAAAAGTCAAAAAAACCCCTATTCAACAAAAACTTAAAAGGCAGTATTTTTCAGCAGTAGCATCTTCCTAATCACCTTTGAGCTGCAGCAAAAAGTTGTTAGTGTGATTTACATGAAGTTGCATTAATCAATGTAAGTTACTGACGTGTTATTAACTTGTGTTACATAGGGCTCTCTTTTAGCAAGCAGACTCACCAACTACAGGGGGTTTATTTGCAAAATTGCAGATTTTTCAATATAATGAAAGGAATAAAAATGCTACAAGGCAAAAATTAAAATCATTAAATCAGATGGATTACTTAGAAATATGAATGATTTGCACATGCTAACCAATTCTAAAGGTCTTTGGTCAGTATTTTTGTGAGAGGAAACTTAAAATATTTCTTGATGCTGGTTTAAATAAGCTAGTAACACCTGTACTAGAATACATGTGTCTTAAATAGCCTCTCTCTAGTAGACAGAGATAGGTAACCCTGCCAGCATCGGGGTTTTATCACAGGACATTTCAATATCTATAGTGTCTTCCACCATAATTTCTTGGAAAGTCCTTTCTGACCCCCTGTTTTGGCTTCACTCAGGCAAAACGCAGACATTTTTACCACCTATTTCACACCAAAGTGCCGTGGATGTATATTCAACATATTCAGTTTTATACATGATTTTGAGGATATTCCTAGAGATACCAAATCATAGAGCACAAAAATAATACTCTTTCATTGTACAAACCAGAACACAGTACTACATGCTTTGTATTTGTGTGCCAGAAAGTTCTGGACAAATCAAAGGGAGATCAGAAATTAAAAATGAAATTGAATAGGGTCTTAAGGCAATAGATTCATGAAGCTAAAAGAAATAAATACGCCTGGATCAGCTAACAATAGCTATGGAAAATAAGCAAAAAGAAGGATATTAGACAGACAGGTTACCTACAAATAATGAGAAGAAACTGAAAAAAGGAGAATAAAGAAGAAGATGGTGCATCAGGGTAAAAAATTCTCAATGAAGCCTGTTGACTGTGGAATTATTTCCCAAGGAATCAGTAGGTAGCCAGCTGCTTGAGTTATTAAGGTGCAATGGTAGAAATGACATTAATAGCTGATTACTAGGGGAGGAGCCTGCACCAGCAAGCTCTCCCGTGGAATTGGCAACGATTGCTTCTCATCTCTTCATAGCCATAATTCATTGGTGAATTTTACACCAATGGAAAATGACACTGGTAGTAGAAGAAATTAATGGAAGACATTTATAACAAAAGTGATGGCAACAGGATATCATAATGAGCAGTGCTTTTAGATAAGTAATTGAAGAAATTTCAAAACAACTTCATGAATATCAGAAGCTGTTGCTGTATTGATGAATATGACTCGAGATCATCCCTCTGACTGATGACCATGCAAATATCAAACATTATTTCAGTGTGGATTTCTAGTAGCAGTGCACACTGATTACAATACTCAAGACACAGTCTGCATGACAGCTGCTAGTATGCAACAATGTATTTTCTTTCTTTCCAGTGTATTAAGGTGTTTGTATGGAAAACACCCTTCATTCCGACAGCCCATAGAGGAACTAAAATATAATATACATGGACAAACTAAAATATAATATACATGGACAAGCAAAATGTGGATGAGCTAATAGAAATCCAGAAGCTAAAAGGTCAGAGTGTTGATATGTCATTACGCCTACTACCCGTGGTTGTCTGAAAATAATGTGAAGAACCTTTTCAATTAAATGGAGACATATTGAAAATATAAATATTTATAAAGGGACATTAAAATCCCTAGAACAGACTCATTAAAAATAAAATTACTTTAACAGTTGCACATAAAATCTACTGACTGAAGTTCCGCTATGGTCGAGCATTGATCACCTTGGAAAAATACAAAGGTATGCAAATAATGCTGAAAGCAGGTTACCGAAATACCAGTGCTGCCCGCTTCTTAAACACCTGGCACAAGATTAAAAGAAAAAAAGACATGAGAAGCTAAACTGTTCAGTGAATATATGGGTCCCTGATTAAAAAAAAAAAAAAAAAAGGATAGCCTAAATATTCTAACTTGTTCACACCAGCTGAGAGGTTTTTTTTCCAGAACATATGAAAAATACAGTCATTTATTTAGATTCTAAACTACTGGCCCTGGGTGGCTACAACTGGGCTCCTCAAAGACTGGCCACGAACAATACAGTATGCAATACACTATTACATGCTTTAACTCATAATAATTGCATCTGAGTGATCAATAGATTGCGACATGTACGTATTTTGTAGCCAGTGTGATTCCTCCAGACAAAGCCACTGTGGTTGATAGATGTTTTAAACTTTTTTTTTCAAAAAGCATGCAATTGCCAGATTTCCATCAATATGTGCTTTGCTAAAATACTTGTATTCAGTCCCTTTTGATACTTATTAATTTGAAATTCCTTCATTAATGTCCCAAAGATTATTTCTTCAAAGAATATTGATGCTATAAATCAAAAATAAATGGGAGTTCTAGGCCTGAAGAATGGGTCACAGAAGCATTCAAACAGTTCCTTTAAGTAATTCACACGTTACTTATAGTAAGCCTTTTGCTTTACTATGGCAGCAAGGCCCCTTTCTTGCTCCAGCTTGGGTCTGAGAGCTTCAAGGGCCTACCTTAACTGTGTCCAGGCAGAAGAAAAAGTGACATGTGATGATGTCACTTATGCAGCTCCTGCAGATAGCAAGAGGTTTCCTCATCCCCCAAAGTCAGAGTAGCTTCAAGCCTGCTAAAAAATTTCACTAGCTGTAACTGCTCCCAGAGGCACTTGACTTTGGCTGAAAATCAAGTGTATGAAGTGCTGCTCTTATAACACTTCTTTCCTTGCCAGGCATACTTTTGCTGCAAGGTGGGAAATGATTTTCCACCTGAAGCAATTACTGAACAACATAGAGAAACCTTCCACCTAAGGGAAGAAAAAAAACCCAGTAAAAAACAAACATTCCCTATCCGTCCCCTCCCTCCTCCCCCACCCCAGTGATAAACATATCACTGTTCCCAAAGGCATGTAGGTCTGACCTTGGTTTTCACCACAAATGTTTCTGACTCTCAAGTTCTGGAGACCTCTCAGACCTCTCCCTGCACTCAGGACAGCTTTGAAGAGGGTCCCTTCATACTGCTGAGTGCACTCAAGGGCCAGGCAGCATTGATACCTTGAAAATACTACCTCAAAGGTGCTCTTAGGAAACACTGCAATAAGACGATATTAAAAAAAAGCCCATGAGACCTAGAAGGACTTTGACATTTTGCTGTAAAGCGGAGGATATAAAATGGTCAAGTTTGCATTACACGTGAGTCAGGATCCTGACAGCTGGTAGACTGGTAACTAGATGGCATTGCCCTACCATAGACAAATATTTTACTAGCCCTCCTTCATCTGCAATTACATGAGTTAGGAGGACTGTGTTTTCTCTTGAGTACAACCACCCAAACATCTCTCACTAATTTAACCGAAGGCAGCAGCTGTTGTTACGACTCTGTGGCGCACAGGCCACAGACCCTGGTATAACAGTAGTGCCTGTCGCGCATAACGCAGAGTACGTTCTTTGCATTGCCACAGTCCATCACAGAGTGTCGCTCTCTCGTGTGTGGTGTACCCACGCCTTCTTAGTCTAGGACGAGCTCAGGTATCCTCTTTATTTCATATTCTCTCACCAAAGCCAATGATAAGCACTTGTTGAACAGAGCCCACCACTCATTTTCTTCTCTGTGGTGGTTGGTGATATAACCTCAGGATTTTGCAGGATAACATGTTGACAGATTAGCGCTGATCATGCGTGTCCATACCGTCCAAACTCAATTACATGTGAATATGGATCCACAGTGAGCAGTAGGTTGAGTTTCAGCCTTCTCTCCTGAAATGATCTAGAGAAACCTGCAACATGTGCAAGGGTCCAAACAGTCTGGACACTAGATGATTCAAGCACAGGTTCATTATCTACAGTGAAAGCTTGAACTGACTATCATACATCTTAGAACTTCCATTTTTCAACAAATACAAATTAAAGGCCACAAACACATTTTTCCTCCTTGGGCCTCAGTCTCCACATTTTTAAAAAAGAGCAATCACAATACTACGTTTGCAAGGTGCTCTAAGCTTCACTACTGAAAAGAGACTCATCACTGTTGAAAGAGCTAAGTTAGATGCAGCACAGTCTGAATTTAGGACAAAACTAAACTCAGATGGTCTTCTGATGACACCAAACAGCAAACATTTTCTTTTGGGCCTCATTTTCACTCCCCGGGACCACTGCAGTACCCACACCATTCCCCTGTGACTAGCTTGGGAGAGGTAGTAAGGACATGGGGCATATGATTTAATCATCTGAGCCTTTCTTGAAGTTGAAGGACTGCTGAGACATGCTCTCAGCAAGAAATAATCGGAAACCATGCCTCCATTACAAACCCTTCATTTACGGAGTTGCACAGTAATCAAATGTCTCCAGTTAACTTCATGCAGCCACTGGGCAAATTGCTCAGATAGCACAGCCTCACATGTCAGCGAGACGCACATGACATCCAGCACTACCTATCGTTCCTCACATTCACCACACCATTAAATGGTCCAGGGCCCCCACAAAAATAGTTTCTGGATTAATAATGTTTGGTTGAAACAGAGTGAAACATACATGATACTGATGAGTAAAAGGAAGCGTTTCTGAGATTTTGGCAGCTGTGGTACCATCCTCTTCAGCTAGATCCACAGACCCACAGTTAATAGCTTGTAGCTAAGAAATGCACCTGAATTTTCAGAGCACATGA